AGTATGACCACCTTACGGAGCTGTGGGGCTTGAAGCTGAAAGTGGCATTGATAGTACTCGTTTACAAGAAGGTGAGACCGTTTCCTTGGTGAGGATAGAACACACTTACTTTTGATAGGCCTGTCGTCGGTATTGTTTTCCACTCTAAACTCTGAGAGCTTCTGCTCGGTCTTGGTCTCCTTTGCTGATCTTGAAGGCAAATGGAGAGGTATGCGTTTTAGGCCTGCCTGAGGCTCCTTTTATTGTATGTCGTCCATGGTTTCTACTCCACTGTGATCTTTACTTGCGGTTATAATGAGGTGGGCGGGCAAGCAGATCTCAGTAGAAGATTCACTCATTGATAATCTAACGGGCAGTCCACCGCGGGCAATCACAGATGAGAAACATTACTCCTCTTTAAGAAAATATTAGCAAGACTTTAGCGAATGTGGAGTAATGTGCTGTAGAACGACGTTTTGGAGAGATTTGAATTATTTACTGCTTCGCTGAATACGTTGTTTCGCTTCGATCTCCCCACGTTGGACCTGAGGGTTAGCCTGGCGCACCTCCTATATACTTATTTGACTATGTGTGAAAAGCATCAATTCATAATTGTTTTTTCTTTTTCTAGATTCTGTCAATGAATCGTTACTGCCTGGAAAATACAGTATCTGGAAACACCATAAATCAAACGCATAACACCTGTAGCTGTGATCTTTTATTTTTACTATCGCTGTTTGAAAACGTCATTTAAAAGCCAGGACAAAATCCCAACTTCTAGCTCTAATCAATCAGCTTGCTAACTTGCTAAAATGTAATTTAGTTTGCCTAAAGGCCCAAAGTGTAAAATCCAAAAGATTAATTTCCCTTTGAATATTATCTTAGCGGATAGAGTCAAAGAAGATTGTCCCACTTTGGCAGAGCTGCAAGACTTGGCACAGAAGCTTGACAAGTGGAACCCTCTTAGGTGTCATTTGCTTCACATGGATGAGTCCAAAATTGAACATATTAAGAAAAATTTAGGCCTATACGGGATTTGAACCCTTGACCTCTCCGATACTGGTGCAGTTCAAATATATGACTTTCATATATTCACAGTCGTTTATTTACCACTTCACGGGTTTATTTGATACCAACATATTGTCCAGCTCCCTTAGGGCTTGTTAGCTCAGTTGTAGAGCACTGCATCGGTATCGCAGAGGTCATGGGTTCAAATCCCATACAGGCCGGAATTTTTTCAGGCCTTACACTTACACTTTCACTACTGTTCAAATAGTGTTTATCCGCAGTTCTTTCATATATTCACAGTCGTTTAACAGTTTTGTTGTTTTCTTAAACCTAGAGAAAAACGTGCTAAACAAAGCCCGATCGATTTTGGGCTGTAGTTGTGACAGGATTATTCACGAACTGAATAATCCACGAGCGAGTAGATAAAGTAGATAACAAACTTAATGGTTAGTAAGATATATAATTATCAAACACATTTCTTTGCGAAATGATAAAAGGCTTTGAACTGAATTTGAGACATTTATCCGAACAATCAGGGTGGAAACCAAACTCAGATTAAAGAATACTTGCAACGACGTCTTCAAAAGTAGAGAGATCATCCTCCAAATTCATGCGCTAGGATCCAAATCTTTCTTGCTCTCTCAATGTCACGTTTCGTGTTACAATCGCTCAATAATATCTGC